TATTGCTTTAATTTCATGAGACATATTTTGGCAAATTTCGTGAGTGAGTAAAAATCAGTGAATTGTGTAGAAGTGACAATGTGTCCTATGAGTGTCAGTGATTTTTGCAAACATTTTTCCTAGAAAGACTAGTAGTTCACAAGTTTACAGTATTCTACAAGGATTCTGTATAATCAGTAGAACAGAAAACAGGCATTCCTGCTATCTATCACTAGTCAAAATAATATACTATTTAAAATCATGAATTACAATGCAAAGTAAGACTGTCTAAAAATGTACAAAACTTTAAAATGCAATGAGATGTTATCCAGTAGATGTTAAAATTGACGGCTGTTTGTTAGAAAACATGCTTTGGGGGCAGGATACATTGGTGTGTTTATGGAAAATAAAGTTTTCTATAATAGTTAATAGGACACCCTGGTACAACTATGAATTCCGTTTCATGCTGTGTTGTATTAACTAAAACTATACCAATGGCGTATAGCAGACTGAAAAAACCTGAATGACGGTTATTAATTGGCTCCACACCAATTGATTCATCATGCACAGAAAGGTTAATTGAAAAGTAAATCATTTGGTTTAATGTTACAGCCAATTATTCCAATTTTATGAGTGAATGTGAACAATAATGGGGTCATTAATTACATGTTTTCAGTTTGTCAAGTAATAATGTAGTATTAGTAGTAACAATGTAGTATTAGTAGTAACAATGTAGTATTAGTAGTAACAATGTAGTATTAGTAGTAACAATGTAGTAACTGTGGCTGCAACTATTTTCCTTTAGAAGCCTAGATTGTGTTATATTGATTACTTTATACATTTACTGTCCGTAGGTTGCAGTGTACTCATTACCACATATTCCATGATGGGACATTCCACTAAAAGATCCTGGGAAGCTGAGAAAGTAATGGAATGGATACATCATCAAGAATGGGGACTCATGCTTTTAGATGGTAAGTAAGCTAGCGTTTTTTTTAGATTGCAAGGTCTGTTTTATTTGACAAAATGACACCCAGTCATGAAAGTTTTTTTTGACAGTTTCTGCTGCAATCACTGCTTATGATAATTCTTACCATTATTACCTTGCCCGTACAATCAAAGATAGAAGGGAAAGGTATATTAAGGGAAAAATTTGTGTCAGGCGTCATCGGCGTCGTCGTTGTTGTCGTCTTTAATAATTGTTATTGTGTGCACAATAACTTTACAAATTCTATCCCAAACATCATCAAACTTGGTCACCATATTCATCAGTATAAAGTCTTCCCTGAGTTTGAACTACAGATGTCCTGTATGAAAATATCATGCAAAAATTGAGAAAATCTGATAAAATATTTTAACTGTTTCTACCTGACTGATCACTGGTGATACGCATCAAAGGTCACTGATCTCAATGGAAATATGCATTGTTGTATGTGTTCAATGAAGCAAATCATTTATCTTGTAATAACATCCTTGGTAATGTATCTCCCAAATCGCATGGGAATACTATTCTTGGTTTCAAAACATTATGTTCAAATTTTAAATATTCATTGTACATTATGTCATAGATATACAAATATATTGGTTTGACGATCCTATTAAAATAGGCTGAATGGTGGCCATTTTTGTGCTAAAAAATCATCAAAATCAAGCATTTCTCGTCTGTTTACAAATGGATTTTGTTCAAACTTGGTATATACGTTGGACAATATAGGACCTTGATACACATCATTTTGTTTTTCAGATAAGATTCAAAATGGCCGACTGGTAGCCATTTTGTTTTAATGAATGTGGTTCTAGTGCCATATCTCTGACTTGCTGTGACTGATTATGTTCAAATTTTAAATATTTATTATACATTATGTCATAGATATACAGATATATTGGTTTGATGATCCTATTAAAATTAGTCAAATGGTTGCCATTTTTGTGCTAAAAAATCATCAAATATCAAGCATTTCTGGTATTTATGGATGGATTTTGTTCAAACTTGGTACATACATTAGACGTAACGGGTTCCTGATGCACGTTATTTTATTTTTTAGATCAGATTCAGTATGGCTGACTAGTGGCCATTTTGTTTTAATGAATGGGCTTCTAGAGCCATATCTCTGAGATGCTTTGACTGACTATGTTCAAATTTTATATATTCATTATACATGTGTTCAAAATGGCTTTATTTTGTTTTAATTAATGCTGTTCCAGAGCAATATCTCTCATTACTTGTTTGATGATCTGATACAAAAGTCAGTCATTTAAATGTTAAACAATCATCATAATCATATTCCAGCTATATTACTATAAACAAAACTATATCTTAAATTCGATAACTAACGAGGACTGTGCCATGCTTGGCTTGTTTTTTTTACTTTTCATATAACACAGTAGTCACACAATGAATATAATAAGGCAGTTCATATTTGTCTCAGTTAATCATTAATTTTTGACATACACCTGTACAAAATACTTGGACAAAAGCCAGCTAAGATTTTCTGTTATCTTGCATGTTTTATGAATCTATTCACGTCTAAATGCAGTACTTTTTTTTCTGAGATGGGGCATTTGTTTTTATACTGAAATATCTTAATTGCTTTGAATAAAGCTGGAAATTATGTCCCTTAAAATAATTAATCAAAGTAGGCACCAATGTTTTTGTAAGATATTTACATCTTTTAAGGACATTCGGTAGACTGATTCCCCACTGCTGGTTTAACCCCAAAACTTGTTTGTAATCAAAATTAATTATGACAATGCATATTTATATTGAAACAAACTATGATAAAGGGAATTATATTATTCATATAACAAAGGGCAAAGTCACCAGAGTTCAACTATGTTTATAAATGTCACTCTTTCAATCCTCTAATTTGTTCTATGTTGTCGGATTCCAACCATTGTATATTATCAAATATAATAAAGTACATCATTCATTGCTTGTACCCACTACTCTATACTGATTTCATTATGTTTTTGTTATTTTTCAATGGGGATTCTGCCATCTTTACATGTCTTGTGTTATATTTCCCCACAGAGGTACACACAATACCAGCCAGGCAGTTCAGACGAGTGCTGACATCAGTGCAGGCTCATTGCAAACTAGGACTCACAGCGACACTCGTCAGAGAAGATGATAAAATAGCCGATCTGAACTTCCTTATCGGGCCCAAATTATACGAGGCTAATTGGTTGGAATTGCAGGATTTGGGTTTCATCGCCAAAGTACAGTGTGCCGAGGTGTGGTGTCCAATGACGCCAGAGTTTTACAGAGAATATCTACATATCCAGTCAAGGAAGAGGATAGTAAGTACCGGTATAGGAAACTGTAAAAATTGTTGATTTTCTTACTAGAGGTACAGAGAAACATTGTCATCTAACAGAGCTGGCACAAGTCCATTCTCACGAACATGTTTGTTCAGTAAATTCAGTGATACTCATTGGATGAGTAAACTCATATTTAAATATCTTTAGTTTTTTAAGTTTGTTACATAATATTTGCTGCAGTATGAACACCTGTATTATGCTCCTACTGATTGAATTATTCAAGTTCATATTTTAATATTTTTTTTTCTGCTTTTCTTTGCAGTTACTGTATGTGATGAATCCCAACAAATTCAGAGCATGTGAGTTCCTTGTGAAATACCATGAACAAAGAAATGATAAAGTCATTGTGTTTTCAGACAATGTATTTGCTTTAAAACATTATGCTGTTGCCATGGGGAAGTAAGTGTATTATATATCTATAAAAAAACACTATTTGTGGATATTCGCAATAATTTGTTGATATTTCCGATGATTTGTTGACATCTAATAATCTGTTAATATTTCTATAAGTTGTATATTTAAAATAAATTCATGACATCTCTAATAATATATATGACATTTCAAGTGATTTCCTGACAACTCTATTGACCTTTTGACATCTTATTATTTCTTTCTTAAAGGCCTTATATTTATGGTCCCACTACTCAGGGAGAAAGAATGCAGATTTTACAGAATTTTAAACACAACCCAGCCGTTAATACAATATTTATTTCCAAGGTTAGAGTGCACATCTTATTTATCCTGTTTGTTTTACTTTGAACACCATTGTCAACTTTTCACACCCTCTACAAAATAACTGTGTCCAGTCTGCTCCTTCTTACATGAAATGACAAACCTTTTGTTCAAAAAGCAACATCTGAAATAATAATGATGATGATGTTGATGATGATGAAATTTACTCAGACACTTTTACAAAATGTATGGGACTCAAAAAGTTTAACTTTTTCACCACCAGACTTTCTGGCCTACATTTCTTTGCACTTTTTTTCTTATATTCTTTAAATATTTCCTGAAATGAACCATAATTTTGAAACCAACAGACAGAATTTGAGTAAACTTTCAGTTTTACCCCAAAATTTGGCATATCTGAAGAAAAGTGCAGACTATAAACAGAACTATTTTGTGAATTTGTGATGAAAAGCAGGAACTGGTGGTAAAAAGGTTAAGACTTAATAATAATTATATGAATGGAGGACATTAATCATCACTATTGTGAATGACCTTCATACTACCGGTACACTTTGTATGGCTGATATAACGGTTACTTTATTTGGGTAGGTTGGCGATACATCGTTTGATTTACCTGAGGCAAACGTTTTGATCCAAGTGTCATCACATGGTGGCTCCAGAAGACAAGAAGCTCAAAGACTGGGAAGAATCTTACGAGCAAAGAAAGGTACAGTTGTATTTTTTTCTTTCTGCATGCCAAGAATATACAAAGTGTTGTATACATCGTATGTACATATGTGTGGACCATTGAAGTTTCAAACTTAAAACAAGGCAATTAGTATTAACACATAGATTCATGGAGGTCTCAAATTTTCTGTGTAGCAATCTTGCAATATAAAATTAAAGCAATCTATTTACAATTAGATTTATAAGCATTTTGTGTCATCTAAGTTTAAATGAATACCTACTCACATGCATCTGACCAACTCCAATAGGATATTTCAGTCTAGCAATCAATTAAGAGCAAATTACTAGTTAGAATTTACCAATATTGTATTGCGTACATACAGACACAACACTTTGTTGTTTGAAAAGTGTGTTCAGAATGGTGAGGTTTGAGCAAAGCTCTGTATGGCAGTTGATCAGATAGTGGTAAAAGGTGAAAAGAAAAAATAATACTTAAATTCCAAAAGAATAGATCTTATTTTAATCAGATGGCCCTCAACACAGTGTCTGTCCATCTGTGATTCATTCACTCAATATGACATATGTGTTAGGTTGTGTAGTTATTTGTCATCTAGAACATGGTAAATATCCCAAAAACATAATCTTAAGAAGACTTCAGATCAACACAATATTGACTCTTGAACAGTATCACCCTTTTTACATCATAAAAAATGCCTTATCACGAGAGGGCGTTATTTACAGGAAAAATGTATTGAGCACACTTTTATTTCTACTTTAACTTTGCTAGGCTCTGCTGCTGAAGAATACAATGCATTTTTCTATACATTGGTATCTCAAGATACTCAGGAAATGTACTATTCTATAAAAAGACAAAGATTTCTTGTGAATCAGGGATACAGTTTTAAAGTTATAACAAAACTAGCCGGTATGGATGAGGTCAGTATCTGTTTTGTACTTTTACTTTTTGGTTTGCCTGTGATGCACTTGCAGAGATTATTGTCACTTTCATTGTTCGCATTTGGCATTGCAAAATCTATTTTGTTTCCAGAATGTAAGTAATTCATAGATTCATGAGTCAATGTTCTATCATTCTGTCAACCAGAATTAAACAGACACAAGTATCTTTCTAAGGCTATTGTAAATTCATATTTATTTAGGGAGTTTGTGCTTGACTCACCCGTGGTACGGGTTGGGTTGTTGGTGTCCATTGCTTGATAGGATTTGAGCTCAAATCTTCTGATCATGCATGAGTCCAATGTAACAACCATTAAAGTTACTTAATTGATATATTGTTATGTGTTCCTGGAACTGTACGTTGATTTAGCAATGACTCTAGTAATGTTATTCTGTATCTTACTGACCATTTAGTTTTATTGGATGCTTATATAGAAGTGGTTGACACATATTTTATATATATATATATATATATATATATATATATATATATATATATATATATATATATATATATATATATATATACTGTATATATATATCTATAGAAAGTGGGGGGGGGGGGGTACTTTCTACTTTTTAAATCATCATTTGTTCCAAAACTCAATATTAACCAACATACATGATTTACTTTTCTGTCCACAGGATCATTTACATTATTCTACCAAACATGAACAACAAAGATTATTACAGCAGGTGTTAGCAGCTAGTGATGCGGACGCTGATGAGGAGAGAGTTGTAGGAGAGCTTAACGCCAAAGGTTCACAGGTCAGTAATGAGTGGCAGATTGTTTTCTACAGCTGATTGCTCAAATATGGTGTCTAATTTGCATATTTATTTTTATTACAATATATGTTAAAAGTTTTTAAGCATTATGGCATTTCAGTGGATAAGTACAAGTTAAATGTAAACCATTGTCACATGATGGTTACAATATATGAACCATGAGCAGGAAGCGTGGCCAACTAATTTGCACTATGGCTGTCACAGATTTGAGAGTTCCGGCCAGTCAAGTCACTGTAAGTAGGTCTAGCCTAATTTGTAGTGAAATTGTTGCACATTTGGAGTTTGGGTAGTTTGATACCATATACCATCCCATAACCAGATTATGTCATGTAACCATGGATATTCAAACCAATTGGCAAATTCAGCTTAAAAGACCAGGTTAGAACAAAACAATGGTATATAATAATCAGGTATGTTGAATCATTAAAGTCACCGTGTTCAATATTGATCCAATGCAATGTAAACAAGTGTAAAATGCATTGTTTACATAAAATTTTAACACTCTGCATGATGACTACTGGTATGCTATGCTGCTTAATTGAGGAAATTATTATTTTGTTTGATATTCTGTACATGGATTACAGTTTATTTTAATTTCAATCTATTGGGTAATAACAAGGATTTCTAACATAAGGCTTTGCAACTTAGATATCTATGTTTGATGATATGCAATGACGATGACATTCTGCGTGCATGCCAATCAAACATATTTTGAACCAGTAGAACGCAGTGGATGCCTAGAAAGGTGTGATTGCGATAACAGAAATGAGTGAGATTATCTCTGTATTTAACAACACAATACCCAGATCAGCTGAAATGTTTTTCATCTCTCTGTCAAATGACATTTTGTAATGCGCTATCCTGGCGTCAACCAGGCCCGGTCAAACACAAGCACCTGCGGACCTTAACCAAGGTTCCCCCAAAGTCGCATTCTTTAGTGAAAGAATCTCGGCCAGTGGAATTTGCCTTCCCATTGAGTCTGTGGTACACTCACCCAGGGTAGGGGTCGACCCTTTTGATGTTCAGCCTAAGGTAGGATTTGAACTTGGGTCTACCAATCATGAGTCTGATGCGACAACCACTATGCTATTAGTGACTGGTAGCTGAAATGTTAATTTAGCAATATTGCACTATGAGATTGTGAGCTTTTATTTGAGAAACACAGTATTAAGGTGTAATAGCACCTACAGTGTAATAAATGCACTATGCTGCCATGCAATATAATGATGTTGATATGTAACTAAACATCAATTGACTCATTTCTGATTACAGGTTGTACGTCGTGTTGGCAGCATGAGTTCAATGTCAGGTGCAGATGACCAGGTCTACATGGAATTCCAATCTAAATCAAAGTTGAAAAGCAGTCATCCACTCTTCAAAAAATTCAGAAAATAGAAGATCATCATGTCTATATATTATTTGTACTTTGTTAGCAACAGCGTTGTGGATGCTTTAACGTTGATGAACTTGGACTTGTATGATGCTTGATAATGTAATACAAAATTGATGTTCGAATGACACTCAGTAGATGATATCATTCTAAACTGGAAATAATCTATTTATAAACCCAGATACATTCTTGTATCAATATAGCATGGAGTTTGAATGTAGCAATCGACATGCAAAAAGGTCAATAGATCTAGAATTCACTGCTGATGCCGTGATTATTAATTTTGTAAACACGTGCATTAGCATGTAAGAACAGTAAAAAACCAAACACTGTATTGTTATTGGTTAATTTGTTTGTTAGATTTTTGTAATCATACTATTGTATACTGTTTTGTGTCACAAACAGATGAGTTCAGGATTATCTGCTTGCTTTTAGCTACCATGTGAAGGGAGGTCGACTCAATGTTGTTTCATTTCTGGTCAGCAGGAATAGGAATTTCAGGCAAATATTTTGATTTTGTATTGTAGACATCAAGCCATGTTACTCTTGAACGTTAAGGAAATGTTTGTAAAATAAGGAAAACATGTTTTTCTCCATTCATACACTACATTGCAGTTTGTCAAAATATAATTTATACCATCTTGGTATTTGTACATACTTGTTTGGGGAGAACACAGAAGTACTGTATATGCCTTGTGAAAAACTGAAGCAATCAGTCTCGCCAATTAAAATTGATACCTTTCTGTTGTAATCGCACTCGGTAACCTAGCAACCATGAACGTGTTTATGGGGACTCTAAACTTATCAATTGTCGTACAAGATGTAGGTACATCAGGCAATTAACTATGCTTTTACATAATATAACTATCACAAAATGGGTATCTGCACCATACCATAGTTTAACATTGCTCAAAAGTTCCTTCACCAGCATTGGACATTTCAATAAAAATGAATGGCAAATATGCTGAACATGTGAACCAGTGAAAACAAGTTGTCTGTGAAATATTTAAACTATTAGACATGTGCTTTATACTCAAGTTCAATCTCTACATTGCTTAAGAATACAAGTGTAACAAACTGTGCATGGCAGTGGTCAAGAAAGGGAAATAAAAAGGTTTTTTATTCCCCAGAAGCTTTAGTTTCATGTTTTTTTTTTATGTACATGCCTGATTCAGCAAAGCTCCTGCATATGTTTTCTGCATATGAATACAACTGTAGTGATTTACAATCTGCATATGAATACAACTGTAGTGATTTACAATCTGCATATGAATACAACCGCAGTGGTTTACAATCTGCATATGAATACAACCTAGTGGTTTACATTCTGCATATGAATACGATCGTAGTGGTTTACAATCTGCATATGAATACAACCTAGTGGTTTACATTCTGCATATGAATACGATCGTAGTGTTTCATAATCTACATATGAATACAACCGTATTGGTTTACAATCTGCATACGAGTACAACCGTAGTGGTTCATAATCTGCATATGAATACAACCCTAGTGGTTTACAATCTGCATATGAATACAACTGCAGTGGTTTACAATCTGCATATGAATACAACTGCAGTGCACATGAATACAACTGCAGTAGTTTATAATCTGCATATGAAAACAACTGCAGTGGTTTACAATCTGCATATGAATACAACTGCAGTGGTTTACAAACTGCATATGAGTACAACCTAGTGGTTTACACTCTGCATATGAATACGACCGTAGTGGTTCATAATCTACATATGAATACAACCGAATTGGTTTACAATCTGCATATGAGTACAACCGTAGTGGTTCATAATCTACATATGAATACAACCGTAGTGGTTTACAATCTGCATATGAATACAACTGCAATGGTTTACAATCTGCATATGAATACAACCCTAGTGGTTTATCCTCGGCATATGTACACAGCTGTAGTGGTTCCTGGTCTACAAATGAATACAACCGTAGTGGTTTACAGTCTGCATATGAATACAACCGTAGTGGTTTACAGTCTGCATATGAATACAACCGTAGTGGTTTACAGTCTGCATATGAATACAACTGTAGTGGTTTACAATCTGCATATGAATATAACTGTAGTGGTTTACAATCTGCATATGAATATAACTGTAGTGGTTTACAATCTGCATATGAATACAACTGCAGTGGTTTACAATCTGCATATGAATACAACTGCAGTGGTTTACAATCTGCATATGAATATAACTGTAGTGGTTTACAATCTGCATATGAATATAACTGTAGTGGTTTACAATCTGCATATGAATACAACTGCAGTGGTTTACAATCTGCATATGAATACAACTGCAGTGGTTTACAATCTGCATATGAATACAACTGCAGTGGTTTACAATCTGCATATGAATACAACTGCAGTGGTTTACAATCTGCATATGAATACAACTGTAGTGGTTTACAATCTGCATATGAATATAACTAGTGGTTTACAATCTGCATATGAATACAACTGCAGTGGTTTACAATCTGCATATGAATACAACTGCAGTGGTTTACAATCTGCATATGAATACAACTGTAGTGGTTTTCAATCTGCATATAAATACAACTGTAGTGGTTTACAATCTGCATACGAATACAGCTGCAGTGGTTTACAATCTGCATACGAATACAACTGTAGTGGTTACAATCTGCATACGAATACAACTATATGTTAAGCAAAACTTTGAGATACGTCTTTGCCATAGGAAACAACAGTAAAATGCTCTAAAACAGACAAAACGTGTTATTTTCACTGTATTGTATTGATCGATTTTTGCTGAACTGAGAACGGATATCCCATATTTTTTTCTCTGTGTTAATCCTTGAATCTTGATATATCAAATAAGTAAAAAGAAGAAATGTACCCCAGACCATTCGGACGAATGGTCTGGGGTAGAAGAAATGACAATATGTTTTATATTTCTGTAGCGTTAAAACACGTTTATAAAGGGCCAATCTTTCCACCATCTTCTGTATATGTATACAAGAGATAAAGAGAAGGACACAAAGCTGGAACTTATAAACATATTTATAACAAATTAACATCCGATCATCAGCTTTTATTAAACTTCAAATATTTGATAGTGATTGGATCAAGAGCTCAACATTGTCTACAGCCATAATGCTACATGTTGCTGATTGGATAATGTTGAAATAACTCATTAATATTAATTAGAACTAACGATGATGTCACAATACCATTTCTGGATTAGTCAATTTGAATTTTAGCATTCATTTTGATTTTAAAAAATGTATATTTATACAAACGTTTATAAAGACCCCAGCTTTGTACCCTTCACTGTAGTAGCAGCATGGCATACTTATAATCATATTAATGGGGTCTTTAGAAATTGTTGTTCAAAATGTATTCTAATGTAATGACATTTGTCACGTCATATGTGGTATAATAACACTTGTGCAGGCATGATATTTATTATTATTATAAAATTTAATAAAAAATATTCATAATTCACTTTTACTTAATTTTTAAAAGATACGTCAACTAATTAACTGTGTACATGATTAGTGGTATATCTACGCACAGTCCCGTTGAGAAACTGTGCTTTGCGGTAACGCCATCTTGTTTCATTGGAGAAAATTAATGCGGCACAAGGTGCATAAATTGTAAAATGTCGTTTTGAGACGAACGACTACAACCTAACAATGTTAATGTCGCCAATGACTTATTGTAAAAGTACGTTTTCCGCGTTATCGGTACAACACAATTAACCACGCATTCCCTGCGTGTCAATGGCAACAACCCCACGAATACATTACGACGGTTTCACACTGTGGACGGTTTCTAAGTTCCCGCGTTCAGTTTATGCAGCCAGTAAATCCTCGTTGTTCGGAAATAAACGTTTTTAAAGCAGGTAATTTTTAATCATCGTTGATGAAAACAGTTAATGCAGTTATCCGATCGTTGCCAACTTGTAGTCGTGTAGAAAATTAACGTATAATCATTGTTTACTTTATAAAATAAATCATATTCTGAAGTATAGACACAGTACGTTCATGTGTATGAGTGATATAGTTACTTTTTACAAAATACATCGTGCTTGAAACAAAAATACTCGTACAACCGCTATACCACATGAATCACAGCGGAACGTATATATCTACATTGCTGATTATGTTACGAAGATCCACCATTGTATCCTGTAAACGTTTCCCATTTATCAGCACTGACTCTTCGGATAGCAAACGTCTCCTTATGTAGTGGCCATAACACGCATTCCCGACCCGCAGTGCCATTTCTTCATTCTTCCTAATGTCCACTTTACGTTTGGCTTCGTAACACGACGTGACAACCAACAATATCGCCAATCCCACACATACGTACGGTGCAATAGTTCTTAGCCCTTCGTATTCATCCAATCCATCGTCGTATACATACTTTAGAACTTCGTACAATTGTTCTGCTTTTTCGTATAGATTTAACAAATCCGAAAAACCTTTCCGACTTGTATGGTTCACGAAGCAAAATGCTATGTCCGCACATTCTCGAAGTGGATTCGCATGAATAACAGACGACGGCATCATATTTAGTTCCATGACCTGCCCTGCATCCGTTTCCTATTCGAATGCGACATACGTGTGCAATAATTAGAATTTCGAACGTTGGAATTAAGACATTCGATGCGCGCATATTTTTCCCACGCAAAAACTGTACGCGATCTTGAAAGAAATACCGCGTAAACTGTCCGATCGCCATTTACACATAAGAGAGTTTAAGATTTGCGTACATAACGAGAACGTGTTGTTCTAATTTCGTTTGCGTTACGTTCTCTGGTGTCAAAAAACTATTAAAGCGCGGTAGTCGTCGCGCAGCGCGTGTTCGAATTTCATGAAAAATAAACAATGTATTTTACACGCGTTGTATACGTCGCTAAGAGTCTCATGTCGAGCTGGACGCGGCACGACGACCGCCGCTCTTTAAGTACAAGCACCCACAACGGGAACGTAACTGAAACAGAACCGTCTCTCATTGGAAAACCATAATATAACTATCCAAACAAATTTTGTATGTCATTTAGTAGTTAGTTCCCAGACATTTGACAGAGCTCTCGCTATTTCCGTCCACTCTGCTGAGGTTCCAGGCCTGTTTGTCGAATCCTCTTTCAGCAGATCAATGTCTGCGTTACCATCCATCTAAATACATTTCTCTTCGCGGGAATGGCCATTTTGATTTTTTTAGAATAATTCATTCAGTTTCGCTTAGACTATAGTAAGTGGCTCGTTTCGAGAAAGTGAACATAAATGCCCGACGTCGTATGCTTTGTTTACATAAAGAGCTGACCAGTTGTGTTCGTTTTCAGTGGGTATAAATATCAGCTAAAATGCATCCAATATTTCTCATTTCATCGCAAATATACAACATCACTCTAATATAAAACGTTTTATCAATGTCAGTGAAAATTAATCAAAATTGACAGCGAGAAAAGCTCTCGGAAATTAACTACGAGTCAGTCACCTTGATCACGTTCAAAACGACTGCCGTACGACCAGGCAACCGATGACGTCATTGGTTCGCGCGGAGGTCATGCACAAAGCAGTGACGTATCCGTTCTCGTATGCGCATCTTAATTGCTAGAATAAAATTATCTAGAGTTTTCCATAATAACTTTCTTGATAAAACACCTGACGTTACCAGCCATCTGCGGAAGAAATCTATGAATTGTCCCAGCCAAAGCAAAGGTCGGTCCACAAAATATAACGATGCCGATTTCAACTACTAAAATTACACTATGATATAATGACAGTTGTAGATGTATTGATGCTTTATTTGGATTGTGTGTCATGTTGACGTCAATTAAACACACACAAAAATATAAATAATGTAAAGTCGAATGGATGATCGTCAATAGTTAGGCTTACTGAATGTTATCACTCAAATCAAGCATATCCACGGTATCACATACGTAGTACACATAGTAGTTCATAGTAATAGGAATGAAATTTCTATTGATCGTGCCATTTACTGACGTGACGTCAAAATGATGTATATGGGCGAAGGCAATGTCATTGGAATCACTTTGGTTGTGTAGTTGTTTGTCGTCTAGAATAGTAACATCTCTCAAGTACATCATCTTAATTGTTGGAATACAAAACGAAATCGAACAAATAAAAAAAAAATGAACAGTCGAATGCCTTCGTGTCACCCATAGACCACCGGAAGTAGTGAGACTGGGGTGTAGGAACAGCGACCGCCTCTTTAATCATGGTAGAAATACAAATATGTGATCTTTTGATATTCGATAAAAAGGAATCTTATTATTGTCACGTCGATTTGTACACCCGCAAGCACAATGTCACGCGTGCAAGTTTACGTTACACCCCAAAACGGTAATGCAAGCGCATGAAGCGCCATATCTTCGGCTTCCGGGAAAGTGGTTTATTACAGGAAAGGTGTAATTGTCAAGTTTGAATAGTGTAACTGTATTATGCCGAGCAACAAAGCATGCATTATACTCAGTTTGAATTTAATAAAGCAAGAACTATAGAGCAAATAATGCTTAAAGCGCGGTGGTCGTCGCGTAGCGTGTGTTCGAATTTCATGTAAATAAACAATGTATTTTACACGCGTTGTATACGTCGCTATGAGTCCCATATCGAACAGGACGCGGCACGACGACTACCGCCCTGTTATTTTTATTTTTACAGAAACCAGACCAGCGTTTTACAGTATGTGTATCTGTATAGTTCAGATCAGAGAACATAAAGCCGCAAAGTACGGTTTTAATAATTGCTTTTTTGGCGAGACAATGTGATATATGGCGGGTACAATGTATTTGATCTTTAATAATTCCAATGGTTAGTAAGCAAATAACACCGAATAAACGGCAAGGTAAAGACTATGTCTAGTTATAGTAAACACGTACTGCGTGCGTGACTCGAACCGGCGCTCGCGTACGACACCTAATCGCCTAGCTTCACGCCACTACACGTCTTCCCCTCGGCCACCGGGCATCCCCAAAAAAGGATGCTTAATAACCGAGCTTATTACGTGCAGAGAACATGAAACCCGTCCACGCGATCCGTGCCACACAGTGTGGCCTGAATGCGGCAAAGGCCTTCAGATCTGGCTGTAGTAGGATGGTGAAAGTAATGGTAATGTGATTCCAATGGTTAGGTAGTTAATATAACGTTAGCGGTATCAGAGGGCTGAGTTAAAGGGCGGTGGTCGCCGCACCCGCACGTGCGACATTTGTGTTGATACACGTTGATTTGACCACAGTCCAATGCGCTCTCGTAATAGAAATCACGAGTGTAAATTTTGATCTGGGCGCGACGTGCGCTAATTACCGCTGGTGACTCCTTCCATACCTTCCAATCACCAATAAATTACCTAATTAAAGCTTAGTAACGTCTCAGTTTGTACTCGTTGGTATGCGCATCTTTTTTTCATGATATGATGTCACCGCCCTTTAAGAAGGTCCAGTTGAAAACCTCCTCCACTTCACCTTCGTCGTGTTTCATTATTAGGAGTTAATTTCATTAGGAATACGAATATGAAAACAGAATTTGGGGTCACCGGTCAATGGTTTGAGAAACCATGGTTCGGAATGTCGAGGAACTTGAAAATGGCAAAAAAAAAAAAAATTTGAATTGCTTTCCATGGTGAAATCAGTTCTTTATAATACTGAAGTGAAACGTTAAATGGTCACATATTATTATTTGTATGAATTATAATATTGTTAAAACTTGTAACAAAAATAACATTCAATTGATTGAGTTTCTCTAGAATGATAGTTTTCCATTATTCATTTCCATCTATTATTATATTGTTCCTTAATCATCAAGTGCGCAACGCTCTCTTGCGGTGGTCTTGACTTTCCAAGATTTAGAGTTTCTTGAAGTGCGAACGAAATAACACTTTTTAGTTCGTGTAAATTTGTCAGATATTACTACCAAGGCAACTTTCTATTTCGAAATAAATGGAGGGAATGGCTCATTATTACTGAGATATATAATTATGAGTTGTTGTTTTACATATTCGCCACTGACGCCCATTTTCATTGCAAAACAGTTGAAATAAGATGTAATTCCGTTTAGTACGGAATACCCACCGGGATATAATTTCGTCATTAATAAAGAGAAAAATGCGTAAAAAGTGTTTTTGTTTTTTCAGTGTCCATCCTGGTGACGTAAGGAGCACTCACTGGCGTAAGCTAGGTTTGGATAGAGTGATCGGATGATACTTGTAGGTTTAACTTTATGATATATTTAGGTATTCTTGAATATCACCCGATCATTGTGAGGGAAAATTCTTTATATATATTTTACTTAATTTAAAAAATAGGTCTTATATGATATAAGTATCGCATAAATTGTTAACATCAAAATATGAAAATTATGTAAACATTCAGGCAGAATATTGAGCGCTGTTTGCAGACACACTATTTAAAAAAACTGCTGACATACAATGTTTTCTTTCTTTTTATTGATAACTAATAGTAAATCAACGAAACAGGTAATGGTGTCAGTGGATCGTTCTGGTAATTTCCCATATGTAAATGACGTGAAGGCCAATCAGAAACGAACAATTTAATGCACGTGTGATCTCATTTAGTTGTAAAAAATGGCCGCCATGCTATATAATGGGCGCGTAGTATTTTACATATCAATTGGGCATAAGCGGCCGTAAACGAAACTCGGCCGTGAATTCTGGAAAACCATATCGGCCATATATAATTGTATGATGGTTCGTGGCATTTAAATTCCAGCATGGGCAGGCCCAATAATTTTCATTTTTTGATAGTTTGCTTTTATTTTTTCCATTCGTCGTTATCACAAGATGTGTAAGTATACGTTTCTTTACTTGTTACCTGTCAACGATTACTACGCGATGCGACTTTAGTTTATTAGTAACCAAGTTATAAACACAATTGTCCCCGCTCTGTTCGTTATTCCTGGGTTGACATGGCTCCATGTGATAACGCCATTGTGATTTCTTTTATGTTAAAACTTGCCATTTTTCAGGGGTTGGCACTTATTTGATGAGCCACGGTGTTGAATATATAACACACAATAACCGCACGCACCGAGATTCAAATGCAATAAAAAGACAGAGCTCAAACTGTTCGGTTTCAAACTATTCGCTGTTGATTAAGACATTCCGGTACGATTTACTAATGTCAATGTTTTTTTAACAGGTCGCATTATTGTAAGGAGCCCTACACAACGACAAGGATAGAAGTGACGCGGGAAAGAGAGGAAAAGAAAGATCTGTGTTCATTGGCTAGTGTACTATTAGCTGATGACTGGGAGAAAGATGATAGTAAGAAAAGTATCAATCCTGATGACTGCTTCTATTTCAAGTAAGTGTACGCCGAATCACCATCAGAAGAGACATAATTTAACGATTTCGTGTCCTGTGCCCCACCCAATGTTGCATGTAAATTGTTTGCAAGCATCCCATAATACGTAGCTGCAGTGGATCTACAAGTATGTGATTGATCTACGGTCTGGGAGAGACATGCTATGTGATGTCAAACTATCATGTAATTATAGGTATAATTTAGTTCCGTCCATTCTATATGTCAATAAATCAACAGAAAGTATATTCTCTATTTTTTTCAAAATCTTAACATGAGAGTGAAAACGAAGCATGACCTGAAATAGATCTGAATTTGCAATTCCATTCTCTCAGCTATTTTTTCCCGCTATTTCGTTATGCACAGACTTTGCCAAATTCGATAAAATAGTACGTAGCTTTTTAAACGTGTTTTCCGGTACACTGGTTGTCGTATTCTATGTTTTTCGAATGGGGATTCTTTCAATTCGATACATAAAAATAAAGAACTATCTTCATATTAGTTGGTTTGCCATGCGAGATATGCCGTAGTTTAACTATCATCCCGCCGTCGCGTCGTACATGATATGTGTCCCATGCGACGTATGTAAAGCATGTAAAATAAATTATCCGTTCATATGATTACTACGCTTGTTGCGCCACGAGATGCCACTAACTTGGCGCTATAAAATGGTTTATTTTAACTATTATCCACGTGATAACAGATATGGTATATGTGTGTGTATAGTTCATAGAGTAGAACCGTTTCATTTTTTTATTTTCTCCGAAATTTCTTACTTTAATTAATGACAGGGAGGAGGGAAATGGTTCCAGCTATGCACATCACGACTGACAAATACTTTGTCTACGCGTTCTGTGTCGTCTGTATCCCCTTCCGCGTGATGGTTGTTTCGTTTGATTTACATTATTTTAACGGGACTTATAATGAACACGTGACTAACACAGTTCGCCAAGTAATCTGAAGTCACGTACAAACGAGTTACGCATTGTCCCACGACAAGTTTTGTGCAAATTGCCAATATACCGACTCTCAGTCGAGTCGTTGAAAAAGTCGTAAATACACCGACCACCGATAAACAGAGAAGATATCACGAATTCTACCTGTTCTGGCGTAACATTCACGTCAATATTTATGACAAAACGACAAAACTGTGGTAAATATGCAATTTAATTAATTAAACGAGCATGGCGTTTGTTAAGTATGGCAGTAACCGCCTCTGGGATGACACTTGCTGACATCTGCTGCGCCGTTAGCAACCCAGGACAGGAAAGAGTACGCAGCAGCTTAGAGAGTTGTGATTGGACAGCAGGTTAATGTGCATCCTAACTATCTTGGAAAGACGATAAAACACGTCTTTGTAATAAAAGTATTCGCATAAAGGAATGTGTCGGTATGTGACATAAAATCTACAGTAATTATCAATGGCATATGTGTATTTCCACGCCATTTACATAAGTTTAAATTACTTTGTTTCATAACATTTATTTCCGCCGATGACGTCACGGAATTATTGATATATGTCGCGCGATTATTTTGAATTATAATACAGTGTGCTACCCATTATTAAAACGACGCTTTCTCATTGGTCGATCGGTACCACGTGTAGTCCTGTTATCTGACGGTGGTCGGCAGTTTTCAAGTTCGAGGTCAATGCACGAACATACGAACAAGTTTGTTCTTGTCTTAGAAATATACAACGTGTTCCCACATTTGTAAAGATATTTTAAGCCCACCATGAATATTTCACGTGTTTTCGCATAATGTTTATTAGTGACTTCGGGGGACTTAGTATAATTGAAAGGATTAAAGGACACGGTTCTGACCATTATTGGGCGATCTCAGAGGTCGGACGCTTGAATAACGGGCTCGATGCACCTTGCTCATTTTTGCACACATCCTGTTTTTGCGAGAAATAAGAATCTGAAATGCCACAGAAATTGGTACAAATTTGAATGTTATCATTGGTATTCATGGTAACACTATTTAATCATAACTCAATTTTGCTCATGGAATGAAAAAAAATAAATAAATATGTTATTATAATTGATTGGAATCCTAAGATTCAAAATTTGAAAAATTGACATTAATTCAATGAGGTTCGAGTTGGATATTAGTTTTCCGCTATATTCAATGGGGCGTTTTTTCCCATGATGCATCGCATATATGTGCAGCCTGAGTAACACGCCTATAGTGTAAAATTTAAAGTGACCCCAAACTGTTCTAAAAGGCAATATGAACGAGAGGATGTAATTTTTAATATTGTATTTCGTTACTGTATGTTGATGAATACATTGGAGTATGATTTACCGCTACCCTGAACACGCTCTTCTTCAAGTTGTAGTACATATCTGAATATTCGTTCAATGAAACAATGAAATTCTCTAATACGCATGTGCATTGGCTTTTTTGGTACGTACAATAAAAGTCATTGCACATGCGCATGCGCATGCACATGCACAAAATTATATTTTTTTCGTCTATATTTTGTCTTTGAATGCCATATTCCACCTGTTCGATATAACTGGTATTTTTAGAAATTAAAACGATATAACATGACAATGTTTCCTTAACTATAATTTGATATTGCATGGTCGAATTTAGATGCACCCTCTGATGTTGGCTACAGAGCCAATAAGCGTGGACGGAGGGAGCAACATTACGCCGATCATGTCAGCTATCACCTCGAGACACCAAAATTATCTTATTTATCTCCTGGAAGTGTCATGATATGCGGAATAACGGCATTTCAGGGAAAATTGTTAATGTTAATTGTACGCATTTCTTTAACCAATTGCGTCAAAGAATGCAGTCGACGCTTGGAGGCGTTCGACTCCATTACAGAAATGAGTGAGACTGTTGTCGCATAAACGAAACACGCACGTATGACACGCTTTGTGAATACGAATTGGCACTCTAATAATTTGAAAAAAGACCTGAAATGAACATAAATCAGTTCTTTCATAATTTCACTAGTAATTTGAAGAAGATATGTGATGATTGTGTGATCATCTCGCAGTTCGCGAGACTTCTTCAAAAAGCACGAGATCTTCATTGCATTTTACCGCAGTCCTGTGATATAACATCACCTCGTTTGCGCTTATTTTAGGCGAGAGGTAGTGGAAGAAGTCCAGGTAGAAGCGGAGCGTGACGTGTGCTGTGAAGGCTGGCGGGGAAAGGATTGTAATGAACGTAAGTTGTTCCGAATTTACGCTGAGTTGATGGGGTTTTGGAGAGGGTGTATGATTCGGCGTTAATGTGATGTAATGGCTGTGTGTGGGATAGTTTAGACTGTTTATGTTGATCACGTATGACTACTTCTTATATGCTATTTTAGATCTATTTATAATCACCGCATCACTTCGTCAGTATGTACAGGGCATATTTTTATTTCGAGACACTAGTATATCTGAGAAGAGAACATCTTATCATGACAATATAATTATGATTTAGAAATAGTTGTAAATACTGATAAAGATGCTCGTTAATTGTCTTGATTACAGCTATATGCGACCCCGGCTGTCAGAATGGTGGTAACTGTATTGGTCCAAACACGTGTGAATGTCCTGTTTTATGGGAAGGGAACACATGCCAAACACAAAGAGGTAAGTATAATGAAGGTGAATATCACGAAAAAAAAGGGGCAAATGTCAAATATAAAAAGGTGTATATTAGGGAATTGTAAACTTGTCACATAAAGAGAGGCGACTATTATTGGAAACTGACATATGTCAAATACGAAGAAATGAATATTATAGGTGAATATTAAGCGAAAGTGACACATACTAAATACAAAGAAGTTAATATTATGGAATTGGGCACTTAACAAATATAGGGAGGCGGATATTAGGTGGAAATGGACATTTTATGACAAGAGGACACATGTCAAATTAAACTCGCGTAGAATCAACACTTGAAAGGCGATGATGTGACATGCTTATATATATATATATATATATATATATATATATATATATATATATATATAGTAGGGTACCTCATGGTCCATACATCAATTTTTGGAATCCAGATAAAATCTTATCCCGTGTTCTAATCAGCCGTCCCCATGTGATACATTCGCAGAAAACGAGTTACCTTTCGCAACATGCGTAGCGTGGGGCACCGACCACTTCCGGACGTTCGATGGTAGACGTTACAACTTCGACGGGCCATGTTCCTACACACTTGCACAAGACGCTGATGGTACATGGAGTGTCAGGATCAAAAACGTCAACTGTGATACTCAGAAGAACTGTCACAAGGTATTTACATAATAATACGGCTTATTCTCAATTGTAATTATACCCATTAGTGTAGTTTTATTACAAGGCGAAACATAACAGCCTCACGGGTTTATTTTATCTGGCAAATCTCTATCGAGATCCTGCTAACATCGGCACCATGTTGTGCGCATCAATTGGTATAATGACGTCGTTTGACCGCATATTCTGACTCGGTTCTTTCCACACGTTTCAAAAACCGCCCGAGCTCTAAGTAGCATACATCGGTGTTTTAATTTTCACAACGGTAATATTACCGTTCATATATTAATTCACCCAAATGATTACCAGTAACTTATTGACAAACACTAAATAACACCCAACTCAACTCTGAAATAAGTGCATTTTGTTATTAATAAAAGAGAGTGGAGATAACGCTTGGGATTGGTGACAGCTCACACAAGGTATTCGCAGATGAAGGGGTACTGCAGATTAATGGAGACGATATAGACGCATTACCATTCCAGAAAAAAGGTATGATTTGAAGCACAATTAAGCGATGATGATAAGCGCCACCATGCGGCGCGGAATTAAAACTTTGTCACGGTGTGACTGAGGCGAAATATCACCACCCGATACTGGTGTGGGCACTTTACAAGAATCTACAAGTCATTTATTTTGAATACAAATTTTGATTTTCGTTCTGAAATTTTTGTTTTTGCAGGTCTTGTCATAAAGAGAAACGGTGACTATATATTTCTAGAGAGTGGTTTAGGTGTTAGTGTTAAATGGGATCACGCATCAGCTGTTTACGTCACTGTAGACAAGGGGGACGCTGTACAGGGTATGTGTGGTACTTATGACGGCGATCTGGAAAGTAAGTAACTTCATTATACTTAAAGCGGGAGGGTCGTCACTTGCGCACGCGCGGAAATTGGGTCCCAAGCGACGATAACAACACACGCAAAAACGCAAAGGCTCATTGGTAGACGCTTGTTTGTAAACAATGACACGCTATGGCCATCTGACGCATCCGCATGTGACGACTCCTCCGCTTTAACCTCGTATATGACCAGTAACTAAACGACAATTATGTATTTCACATATTTGAGGCGAAATGGAACATGATTCAGTATATTCGAAAACGACACTTGCGAATACCTATAGATCATTTTTTACTCGGAATTCAACATACTGCTACATTTATGGATATTGTCATTGTACGCACCAATACTGAATGTGTTGGCCTCGGTGCGTATTTGTGGTCGTAATTTATTTATTTATATTTCTGCAACGCATTTGACATAAAAATAAAATAGTGGGTTGTTGAACGTAATGTGAAAATTCTTACCGTACTATTCATAATATGTATCCAACAGACGATTTCCTTATGAAGAATGGTCTTCAAGCAGCTTTCCCTGCGGCATTCGGGAATTCGTGGAAATCCCTCGGCGTGGGAGAGGTAACATATTCTTTAATCGATAACACTTTCGTTTCTACACACCGTTAAATGTATATTCGAATTGCAATACTGCTAATATAAAGTAAGTTTGTTGTATAATATAATCTTTTTTATATTTTAAATATAGTCATGTCCCGACACAAGTGACCCTCCATTGCCATGTAGTGGTAAACAAGATTTTCTGCCAACTGTGAGAGAGCGATGTGATATTATAACAACAGGGAAGTTGTCAGAGTGTGCTGAAACTGTAAGTAATTTTCACAGACCGACAATCTAATTATATTAGTCGTATGTGTGTTAAATGATTGCCTGAAATATCGATCTACAGTCGTTCGTTGATAACATATAATAAATATATACATACCAAACTGAACTACGAACTATGGATTTGCTTCCACGTTAATTGGCGTCACAGAAGCGCGTCGTCGTTAGAGGATTATTAGAAACTGTCATGGTGCATTGCTTATACTAACTAGTAGATGACCAATTCACATTTTATAACTACAAACACTAACTTCAGTAATTTAAATACGACATGTGTCAGTATGTTCATTATTCGCACTGTAATCGCTACTTTTTTGTTTAAAAAAAATAGGTTCATCCACTCGCCTTTATCAACTGGTGCGTCGCGGACCTTTGTAAATATGCCGACAATGAAGAAAAAATGACAGACGCCTTATGTGAAGTTTTGACGATTTATTCCAGAGAATGTTCCGCTAAAGGAAAAATAATAGATTGGAGAGAACAGGACTTCTGTGGTGAGGAGAAAGAGTTTTAAGGGACAAATTTATCCTGGGAAACAATACCAGACAATATGCCTGGGCAACATTGGACTTAATGACGTTAGAAATTCAATGTTAAACGATATATTCAAATTTTAGAAATATATACTTCAGCCATTTTGATGAACAAAAATGTGTGTTGTAACAACACCCGTTTCCTGTTTTTATTTACAGCCAAGAAATGCCCCGGTAACCAAATTTACATGGAGTGCGGGTCAGCGTGCCCCCGTACTTGTGCCACTGCCAATTATGACTTGGCGAAGTACTGTGATGCAGAATGTGTTAGTGGATGCCAGTGTCCAGAGGATACCTTCCTGGAAGATGCAGAATGTGTCCCCGCTGATCAGTGTCCATGCATCCACAACAGAAAGAAATATGGATCTGGAGAAGAAGTTAAAACCGGATGCAACGTTTGGTAAGATTTTATATATTTGTGACCTTTCACATCTCCAAACTACTGATATATACGTCATAACATGCTGAGATTATAGATGGGTAATATATTAACTGCAGAATATGAACTTGAATTAGGTTAATTTTGTGAGATATAAGCAGAAAGGCACAGGAGTTAGGAGGCTTTGTTTACCCTTGAAGGTCTGTTACATTGTTGGTATGTTTGTCCAAGAGAAAAGAACCCCCAGTTAGTACCAAACACGAAATGTATCGAACGCTAAGAACAAGACATATACTTTTTACACACTTTCTGTTTGCACATGTTATGGGAATGTTGTCTTACACAATTGCAAAGTTAGAATGCAACTTTAACAATGTGCGTATTTATGATAAGTTCCCCGTCCCTGACACTCACCGTAAATATATTACGTTACCACGAGTCGCTATTTGTAACAACTGTTTCTATTGTTCTTTGATTTAGTACGTGCCAAGCTGGTAAATGGGAATGTTCAACGGAACCATGCGAAGCGACCTGTTCAATCCTCGGCGATCCTCACATCATTACGTTTGATCAAACCTATTACAAGTTCCAAGGAAACTGCGAGTATACCATTTTAGAGGTAAGCCGACTGTAGAACTACGTGACCAGCAATAATTTACCATCGCCTATACCTGACTAAACACAACAATCAAATGGTAGATATCATTCGAGCTTTATTCCATTTGAGATGCAACCACAACACGATTATATTCATTTTCACTAAACTAAAATCCCGCAACAGAAAAGTTAAATTAAATCCCCATGACATTACGGTTAAATACTAGTAGTATAAAGTATAAATAAAACGACGACAACAACAACAACAACAACAACAAACATAAGTGATAGACGAACTCAGTTAAATCCAAGTAGTCATCGTAGAGGGCGCACATAATGTTCAGGTGATTTGTGATATGTAACGTGCTCAATGCTATTTTTCATGAATACAGGACGTCATTGACGGAAAAATAACAATCACTGGTGAATTTGGAAAATGCGGAAGTGACGGAGCTGTCACGTGTTTGAAATCTGTTACAATCAATATTGGAAAGACTGAGGTGCAACTGTATGACAAACAACGCGTGAAAATGAACACCGTCGAAACAACGTTGCCATTCAGAAACGGTGACGCTACTGTTAAACGCGCAACGTCAATGTTTGTCTTGGTGGAAAGTCCCGGATTAACCATTCTCTGGGACAGCAAGACACGACTTTATATTACATTAATGCCACAGTTCGTCAACAGGGTAAGTGATTCTGTTACTCCTCTGGCGCGTGATGGCGCTATTGCGACACCAGCGCCACCAACCGTTAATAAACTGAATACAGACATTTTCTGCGTTGGTTCTCAGAGAACCAGGTTTCATTAATTCAATATCATAACATGATATTTAGAATTAAACGACAGTCTAGCGAACTTATAGTGCAATTGCACCAGCAAAACCGGCCTGAATCTCAGTTAATCAAACGATTTTGCTTTCCATTACCTTCACATATCATGGGATTACGTTCTTCTTAACCAGGTACGAGGTCTATGTGGTACGTTCGACTTCATCCAGAGTAACGATTACGAGTCTCGTGACGGCGACATTAGTGATTTCACATTTGCCAATTCGTACAAAGTTCGAGGTGAATGCTCAGACGTGGGCGAAGAGCAATTCCAGCCGTGTATGATCAATTCACAGAATGCCGACTATGCAAAATCCAAATGCGAATTTCTCCTATCGCCCGCCTTCAAACGATGCCACAGAATAGTTGACCCCGAAATGTATTACGATATGTGTGAGTACGATGTTTGTGGTTGTAGCAATGCCGATGACTGTCTGTGCTCCGCTATCGCGTCATACGCCAAAGAGTGTTCAAGAAATGAAGTCATTATAGACTGGAGGTTTGAGGACCCCGTCAAGAACATATGCGGTAAGTATAAACGCAATCATTAGAATTACGTAATAATATGTATACTTATGTCTATATATCCCCCTATACATGTTAACTATAACAATGAAAAATGATATGACTAGTACCTCTTACCTTCCATGCTATTTCGAAATAGCACAAACATTTTCAGATACAATTTTCAATTTTGTGAATACGTCGATTATTTATGACATAAAGCTGGGGTCATTATAAATGTTGTATAAATATACATTGTTTAAAATCAAAATAGATGCTAGAATTTAAACTGACTAATCCAGAAATAGTATTGGGACATCACTAGTTCTACTAATTAATATTAATGAGTTAGTTCAACAATCAACAAGCGCCTAAATAAGTGGTCGGTGACAATTATACTCGTAGGCCGTTAGCTAGTGAGCCAATCACTACTAAATATTTTAATTTGATTAAATGCTGATGATCGGTATTTACATTTTTTTTATAAATACGTTTTTAAGATGGGGCACAGCTTTCTGCTTTTTACTGTACTTATGTTTGTCAATTATATCTCGAGAATATTTTATTACAAACTATTTGATCAATGTATATGATATTCCGATTTCTCAGCACCCAAATGTGAGGGTAGCCAAATATACAGCGAATGCTCCTCGCCATGTGCCATCACTTGTAGCGAACTGAGTTCCGATCAAGAATGTACCAAAACTGAGTGCATCGCAGGATGTAATTGTCCCGGGAACACCGTACTCGACGACTCCGGTAACTGTGTACCGCCTTCAGAGTGCACATGCACATATATGGGCAAAGTGTACTCCGCAACACAACAGATTGAACGGTCATGCCAAACTTGGTAAGTGCATATACTAGTAGATTGTGTGTTATAATTGTGTTTTCTCCAGTGTGTCCCAAACAGTGTTTTTGTTTGAATAATTGACAAAATGTAAAGAGATGTGTTGTCTTGTTTTCAAAGTTTCAAAGTAATATTTTGGATTCGCCAGGCTCCTAGATTTATCAAGTTAATTAGACCCAGAAGCTGTTTTACTAAATCTTTCAAACGTTGATAGTGGAACTAGCAACTAACGGTATCGGATATTTTAATTGTGTTCCAAAAATGTATCCAAAGACCTGGAGTATAATCACATTTCTTTGTCGTACATTGTACATATATTGTACCTTTCCTGTACAAAGCGCCCTCTGTCGTTTCTGCGACGCGACGAATGATACGAAGGTCGTGCTTCAATGAAGATTTTGTTTTTAGAATATTATATTCCAGATGATGAACGCCCACATACGTCATTTTGACGTCACAGATGCGTTCCGCCACGGAAGGCGCGCTTTATTTGAAATGATGTATTCGGCAATGATGACAACATTACACCACATAATTGTAGGCTTTCCATGCAACTTTACACGCAACTTTCCAGGCTTTTCACATAAGTTTACCAACTTGACACCTGAGCCATGTTTTTTGATAATCGAACACACACACTGGGAAAACAGTGTTTTCTAATTCCATTTCATACATCTTGTGTTTTATGCAGTACCTGCAATGGTGGTCAGTGGGATTGCCTAGGTGAAATGTGCGAACAAAAGACCATCTGTCCTGGCAACAAAGTCTACAGCGAGTTTGTCTCACCGTGTCCGCTAACGTGCGAGAATGTTGACAACTACCAAGATTGTGGTGCATCCACATTCCCAGGATGCACTTGCCCGGAAGATACCGCACTTGACATGCAGGTAGGTAACCTTACGATACCGTGCTTGAAGAAGCGCACAAGACAGAGGACGGGAGGGGGGGGGGTATTTTTTATTCAATCGTATCATCGATAAATGTCTTCGTGTGTGTAAAAAAATCACCGGTTGCATCAAACGGCCAGGCCAGGCTGCTGGTCAGGCGATCATGTCACGAAGTTCGCATTATAAAACGTCTCGTATATTAATAAGACCCTATAAATTGCTACATTAGAAAGGCCATCAACGATAGGTGTTTTGAAACACAACTCTATAATGAAGTCAACTTATTAGTAATGCCAAGAATGCTAGTATTTTTTCACATTTGGCGTGAAAACTCCCCATGATAAACATGCTAGTTATTTAAGTACAAACAGAACAAGCGACGTTACCGACGCGTCCGTCACGGTCGTGACCAGTCGCGCAGGGGTCTGTCGTCTTTTTTGTAAATCGGGGTGAATTCAACAATTGACAGCTGAAAAAAAACAACATTATATTGTTTTACTAGTGTTGCTTTGTTGTATGTACGAAAACAGTGTATGGTCGGTATTATCCGCAAGTTAGTCGAAATATAGTAGATATATCAATTTGGTTAGTGCCTCGTCCATATATGCATAAGTTCTATGGAGTGTGCTTTTAGTCCTGAACACGAAATTTACATGGCTGCTGATTGAAAACGTAATTATAGCATTATCAGATCGATCATAATTACGTTATTTTAACAAACAAAAAAAA